GTGTGTGTGTGTTAATTTTTGGAACTCTTGATCTAGGACTTTTTTCATTAATAGTAACATATAGATTCAAAAATAAATAAATAAAGTGTATAACTATTACACAATTTATACACATTTTTTGTTCATAATTATATGCTATATTTTTCTTATATTTATGATATTAATATTTCTGAAGTGATTACACTGAGTTATTCCTTAAATTGGCATGACATGCAGATTTTAATTTACATTTACACCAATTAAAGGATTTACACAGTGTAAACGCTTAAAAATATTATCACAAATGTCGCTTAGCAAAATATGCTAAAAATGATAGAAATTGCTTATTATTTTTTTCACTTTATGTAAAACACAGTGTAATCACTTACAATATTACAATATTAATTCAATGTATATAGCTATTGCAAACATTTAATGTTTGCATCTGGATTCCAGCCCAGAATTTTCTACTTCAGAATGCTTTGAATACAACTTTTTTTTTTAAATGCTCCAGAGAGCAGATCTCCCCTGCTAATATAAACCTCTAATGTAAATCTCAAAACTAATGGACTGAGGAAATGTAAATGTCTTACTGACAAGGCACCCAATGTAACTTTTAATCATTAATACTGCAGAGGACATGTCAGTGAAGTCATCCTAAATTGCTCTGTGAAAACCACTGCTAGCAGCTTGCTGACTGTCCAATACAATGCAGACTTGGAGGAGTTCTGCAGGGCACCTGTTTGGGTCCAGACAAACTATGTCGGTTTATTGATTATATATCAAGAAATGCACCTGGTCAAAAATTTGAACTGACGTTTCTTTGGGATCCTGATCATTCTGCTCGGGAGAGTTTGGGATGTGTGATTAAATTTTACTGCAAAGCTCAGCATCTTAGCTGTTCTCTGTCTTGACCGATTATTGTCATTTTAACACATTTTGTTCTTCAGCACTCTGGTAGGAGGTGAGCGAAATCAGTTCAGGTGCTAGTACAGTTTATGGGTTTCTGATCTAGTTTTCACTCTCACTCTCTCTATCTGTGAAACAGCTGTGGTAG